TAGTAAGTGTCTGAGGCTGAATTTGAACCCAGATTTTCCTGCTTCCAGGCCTGGTGCTCTATCCACTCTGTCTTACCTATGAGGAAAAGGAACAAATTCTGTAGGGGATGGGAGAGGGGAAACACACTCTAAGGACCCTGGAGTGAGGACTGCTGCTGGAAAGTCATCCCATTAATTCCCTGCCTCCTCAGGTACCACTTGCTGAAGTTACTCTTGTCCAGTCATCAACTGCTTCCTCTATAGCTGTCAATCACAGAAGCTTTGCCTCTGCAGACATCACTCTTCCCAGAAGCTACCTGTGGACTGCTGTGACCAAATCACCAAGCACACAAATGAGGACTGTAACAATCTGCTGCCTGAAGCTACTTTTCTGCTGCTCTTGCCACCCTGGACTTTCTGACCAGTCAGTGAAGCTCACTCCACGTGTACTTCAGTTAAGTGTTCTTTTGGCCTTAGAGAGCTCAGGCTGCACACTGGTGCTGTTAGTTAAGTCAGTCTGCCCAGGCTAGGTTCCTTGGGGAGTTGTGGTTAGCCTACTTTCTAGAATAAATATTGGTAGGTCATGTGGTGCACACAAGGCTTTTGTTGAATTTTTCCTCTGACAAACCTTTATGCTTCACCTGGGTGACTCCTAACTAAAATTCCATTCCCACAACCACTTTTAATTCTAGTGCCTTCCCTCTGTTACTTATTTCCTATTGATCCTTTATATATAGCTTGCTTTTTATATATTTCTTTGTATGTTGCATCCCCAGTACTAGCACAATGCTTAGCACATAGTAGGCATTTAATAAATGTTGACTGATTATTGCTCAGCCTTCTTCTGCTCTTTTTTGTCCCCTTTAGCTGGGAGTTTCTCAACTCTCACTCTCTCTCTTTTTTTTTAATTTACCATGCCCCACAGCTAAGAACCGTTAGCATTCACACCTCCTTTAGTCAGAAAAACCCATTCACTACTCTGTGCATCCCTTTCCATTCCTACCATGTGTTCCTCTATAAGCAGCATTTTCATATCAAGAGAATGTTAATGTTACACACAACATAGTTGTATGTACATGTTTATTCTCATATGTGAGTATATATACATATATGTGTGTATATGACACACACATATTCTATTTAAATGAAAATTATGACTAATTACCATAACAAGAAACTTAGAAATGTTTGTTGAAATAACTTTGCCACCTCAGGAAACTCTTCACTCATGTTACTTAGGAACTCAAAAATCTTTGGTTGCATAGGAGCTGCTGTCTTTTCAATGCTCTTAAAGAAGAAATTTGGGAAAATATTCAAGATATTGGACCCCTTTGCCAACTCAGCATGAAGACTGACAATACTTCTGAAAGGTGATTTAATCTGCACTAAATAAAACAGACATGTTGCTGCTTTCAACAATACTTATTAGAAATATTGAACTTATTGTCCAATGTGTAGGTAATTCAAAGTAGTCTCTGCCCTCAAGGAATTTATAATCTAAAAGAATAGTTTATATAGTCACAGCCCAGGTTTTTTTTTTTATTAAAATTAGATCCAATAAATTAGAATGTCCTGGTACCATGATTTTTTAGAAGTTAGAGCAATTAAAGTATAAGTGTGGAGTTAACTTTTTATTCATATTCTTTCATGAAATGTTATATCCTTTCATTTAAATTCAATTTAATTTCAACCTTTACTGAATATTATTTTATGTATTAGATGATACTAATGGCATTTAATCTTCTGAAAAATTCATATTTAAAGAAATTTCTTTTCTTCTTTTGTTACCCAAACATTAGCAATGGTAAACAACATTTTAATAAACTTATTGCTAAGATTTTAAAAACACAAACCATAAAAAATACATTATCTGAGTTTAGAAAGTACTTATAGAAATACCAATCATCCATAATTTTGGAATTATGTTTAATTAGGTGACTGTAATGAGAAACTATATAGAGTTTAGAATGATATATGTTGATTACACATTTTTTTCAGTTGATTAATTTTTTTTTTCTATGTAACCGCTTGGCTTCTGTGCTACTACCAGGAGAATGTTGCCAAAGGGACATTAGTTTCCAGAAATTGCTAAATAGATTCTGTTCCAAAGTTTAACTGTTTAGTAACTTCTTTATTTTTAAACTTAGTATTGAAACTCATGGGAAGTAGAAGCCAGAAAAGATTCTTCATCTAGCATGCCTTGGCAGGGAAGTGAAGAGGAACAAGCCAGTGTGTTTGACCTTTGGATGCCAACTGCCCACCCTCCACTTTCTCCATGACTCTGGTGGGCTGTGGCTGCAAGATGGTAGCACTCAGAAATGTGGGACGCTTGCTATCCTGCTTCTACCCTTCTCTTAATCTGTCAGGGAAGAAGAGACAGTAAAAGAGGTCTGAATCTCCTAGCTGCTAGTTAAGTGCAGCCAATTTTTACTTATATTGTTGACCTCCCAATTGAGTTATTAATATGTACTTGTTGATTGACTAAATAAGGCACACTCTTCCTGCTCCCCCACCCTCCCAATACCACCTCCTGAGAACAAACAATGTAATATTTTCAGAACAGAAGAGACCCAGATAAATCTCAGAATATATACTAGAGCCATCAAGTAACATAACAGACAATACCTAGTAGGACTAAGATCTCCTCCTCTGTTAACATTAGGTGATCTGAGCAACAGTCAAGTCACTTAATATAAACAGCATATTCAGGAAACTTTGTCTCTTTGGACAATCACAGATAAGGTTTTTGATGATGCTAAAAAGAAAGACAGCACTAGTAGCAACAGTGAAAAAGATAATTTTCCAGTGAGTGAGAAACACACAAGAGAAGCTAGTTCTAGACTTTGGTCTACCAATTTGGCAGCCACTTCTGGAGTCAGATGGCTCAAGCCATCTGAATCTGCATCTACAGCACATCATAATAATTAATGTTGATAACAACCACCTCGAGTCTAACAAAAGGTTAAATTATGTTATGTTTAGAATGGCTTGGAGGGAGGTGATAGAAAGTGTTTAAAGATTTCATTCAAAATATAGAAAATTGTAATATGATATCTCAGTACCTAAGGGATTAGGTTATCAGGTAAAATAAGTTATTCAGAAAAACTTGCTTCCCAATAGTTTGTGAAAGCAAAGGCCTAGGGAGATTTGTAAATGTTTAGATAAAAAGGTGCATTTCAATTGCTTGCAATGAATTAAGCAAATAATAAAATAATATTTCAAGTTCTCCTAAGGAAGATATGAAAATAACACAAAATATAACAAAGAAAAAGGACAGAGTTTCATTCCTTTCACTATTATATTTCGGCAACAGATATTGTTAGGCTGGGCAACTAATGGAGACTGAAGTAAAACCCCATACAACTTTTTGATTGATAAATATTGAAGTCAATATTCTTGGATATTTAAAATTCTCTTTGACACCTTTTCATTTTTACTCAAGGGCAGCTCTGATGAATTGTTTCATATTAGATATAGGTATACTGAATAAACTTGGATATGCTCATTGAATGTGAAAATAAATACTATATTTGCCTGGGTAAAACAAAATGTGAAATATCTACATTAAAATACAAAATGAAAATATTTAGTCCATTGATTTAGACTCACACTTTCTTCTCTTTCTACACTGTATCTGAAACCATGAACAGTTTTTAGCAAGGCCTTAGTTCTAGAAATTATAAGCAGACTCAACAATCCAAACTTTGGTTATTAATACAGAAATAAAATCTAGCACATGGGACTTCAATACAGTGGTGTTATGGAACAAAGAATAAAGAGCTGAACTAGAAGTCAAAAAATCATGGGATTAATTCCCTCCTCTGACATTTACTAATTGTGATCTTGGGCAAGTGATTTGGTTTCTGTGACCCTCAGTTTCCTGATATGCAAAACGAGGATAATAACAGCACCTTTCTTCATAGGGCAATTGTGAAGATGAGATGTGAATATGTACCTGACGTTAAAGTGCTGTATAAATGTAAGCTCATTATTTTTATGAACTTATGAGAAATTTCTGTATGTTTTATTTTCTAAATCCTGACAATCTATATTATATAAACAATATAGAATCAGATGTTCTAGTCTAGAATATTCATGATTTCTTAAACTACTTCAGTAACACTGCTTTTCCCAGGGTTGCTTACAGAAATAATTTGGCTGTTTTTCTTTTAGTATTTTTGGACTGTTTCTTGCTCATTATGCTATGTGTGATTTAACCTCTGATTTTTTTATTTTTATAAAATGCAAGTTTTCTGGTCTTTACTGAATGAGACTTTCACTATTAAAAAACAATAGGAACAGAATCCAGGATTGGGCAGAGAAATGAAGAATATGAGTAACAGTGGAAGAATGTCTCCTTTTGGGGTCCAGACAAACCTGCTCCAGGGATCATGTAAATCAACTTGGGCTCTTATCTAAAACATCATATGATAGATGGAATCTGATTTACATTTAATCCAGATTGTCATCTCATTAAAACTCAACTGGGATTCTTCTCTTTGCCATGTTTGCAGGTTAATAAGATAAAAAGGAACAGAAAGTGAGAAGAAAAATCTCAAAATACAACCGAAACAAAAAATGCTAACAATGGAGGTATCTACTTGAATTTAGCACCTCAAGTTACAAATTCTGATTCAAACATTAAATTTTGAATTGTGCAATGGAGCTGAACTCCATATGATCCCAAGATCTTTAGTATTCTATATGCTATTTCCAATTAACCTGGAAACACCAGAAGAATTTTTTAAATGATAATTTCAGCACTTATGGTTCAGAGAATAAGAAATAATTGCTAGGGTAACTCTATTTATCTAAGCATTTCACATTCCCTCCAATTTAGCCCAACACTGGGGTGGAGGGAGTGGGGCAGAAGGTCCTGGTCTTCATATAAACAGAAAAACAGAGTTAAGCAATGTGCATTTTGCTATGGTAGAATGTGAATCTTTCATAAAAACAAACTTTAGCTATGCTAACACAAATTAACTTACCTTACCATAAGAATTAAATGAAAAATTACTTACTTTTCCTTTTCTTGAAGAGGTGGTTTCTGATCAACCAGTTGAGGTTCTGTATCAACTTTTTTCTGCAACCGTTGCCTCTTCTTTCTACTTGGTGCAATATCTGTGACATCTGGACTTGAAATAATGGAATTGTTTTGGCTAAAATTGGCTAAAATGAAATGAAAGGAAACAAGAAAGTGACCCAACAATGCAAGGAAATTTTAAAATAACTAAAGTCAAAATTATTTTCAAGCTATAGAAAACATTTGTGAGTAAAGTGAGACCTTGGTGCTTATTTTTTTACCTTTTGTATTGACATCTAATAAAAAAATTAAAATCCCTGCTTTATGTTTCTCTGGCAATTGAGGAAAATACAGCTTTAGCTTTTGATCTTAGTACCATCTTTTTTTCTTTTTTCCTTAGTTCTAGTTTCACAGCTTTGAGATTCACTGTGGACTCAACAAAATATGAAGTTAAAAAATATAAAAAGTGAGCTGACATCAGTAAATGTCACTAAAGTGGCTATACCTTTGGAATAATATAAATAATTGTGCCTAAAAATGTTTAATAGACATGAAGCTAGTCTAAAGAGTAAAAAATAAAAAAAAAATTTAAAAAGTTTTTGAATTGCGTTGTCTGTCACCTTACCAAACGATTCTGCCATAGAGGTAACATGAAGTCTGCTGGATGGCTGACTTCCTTCCTTCCTTCCTCCTAACAAATATCTGCTGAGGCAAATGTTGTGCAGGGCACAGTAAGGAATACAAAAATGAACATAAGTCAGTATCTAAACCTGAATTGCTCACAATCCAATGGGAGAGATCCACTACAATCCAACAAGAATTTTTTGATTCTGTGTGCAAGGCACTGTGCTTCAAGTTGGGATGCAAAGACAAAAGGAAAAACAGTAATCAGGGCCCTAAGTCTAAAAAAAAAAAAGAGTAGCTTAAGCTCCATACTAGATTAAGATATCACTCAATGCTTACTTTGTGGATGAAAGCAGACTAATTTATAGAAGGATGTACAGTGAGCCAACTGTCTCGCACTCATCTTCATTATCATATATTTATGGAATACCCAAGTTAGGTATTTGAGATATCCAGATAGAGTACATACAGTAGTTGCTGCCCTTAGGAGCTTATAATATAGTTGAGAAGGTAGGCTTGAAAAAAACGTACTTGAAAAGGTAAATAGTAGTATAAATCAAATAAGTGGTACAAATAATATAAACTACAAAAAATACAACTTCCCAAATATATTAGGAAGCTCATTTTGATCTCTCTAATAATAGGTTATCATCATTTGTTAAAAGAAACTAAGTCTTTCTTTGTCAGCAAAGGGCTGTTAGAGGATATTCAGTTTTTAAAATCACAGATTCACAAAATATTAGACTTGAAAGTGGTCTCAGAAGCCCAACCTTTACCTGAAGCATAAATCTATATAGTCAATCTATAACTTTCTATTTTTAATATAGATTCAACTTTTTTTTTTAAAACCAGGAAGATAAGGTCCATTATTTCAATTATTCATAGAAAGGGGGGAGCAGAAGAAGAAGGGGTAAATGGTAAAAGAAGGTCAAATGATAAGCCCATTATCATGAATACAGTAAATCAGGGAAGAGAAAGCTTTTTTCTTGATGTTTAATCCAGTAAAATCTCATCTAAAGGAAGTCCTTTCATATAATCAGCAAAGGATGGACTTTTATATGAAAGAAAAGGTTAGCAAAAGGGTCAGGGTCAGAGGGCATTTTAATAATAGATGGGACACAGATCAACTTGCAAACTAGAAGAGGGATAGCATTACTGAAAAGTACAATGATTTAGAAAAGCAGAGAAGAAAGCAAAGGCAAGAGTTATTTCCTTGATATTTTTAAAATGAATGAACGTTAACAGTACAGAGGGTCTTCCAAATAGAGAAAGATGTGTTCTAACCCAGACAATCACATATTAATACTCTATTAGCTAGTCTCTTCAAAATATATACCAGTATTCAATAAACATAATATTTAATCTATAAAGAGATTGCACCATTTTTATGTCTTTTCCCCAAATACACTGGAGCCTCTTTACAATGTTGCCATTTGGTGACTATATTAACAGCGGCCATACAAACTGTGCTATAAGCCTTTCTTAAAATGTTTTCTTTCCATTTCTAGCTATATATCAGTGACATAATTTAATCCTCAATATATTAAATCTTTGAAGTAATGAACTATATCATTAACAATTTTTTGTACTTCATATCTTTCTTTAAAATGAACCTTTGATGTAAGTTACCAGGATGCAAAGCTATTAATAACCACATTTTTTATTATAAATTTAACACCAAATAAAATGAACATTGCCATACACACGAAACAGAAGATTGCAAATGACCTTGAATGTTTTTAGCAATATTAATTGAAAGTATTATTTTTGAACTCCATCTCTTCCTTTTGAAGATAACTGCTTTTGCTAATAATGAGAGAACTTTCTACATAATAATGCTTCCACAACTCTTTAAGATTTATGAAGTACCTTATATACATACATTTGATCTTTACAATGTCCTTATAAAATAGTTACTATATATGTAGATATGTATATGTGTATGTGTATGTATTATATATAATCCCATATGCAATGAAAATGAGTACTAGGCAGGTTGTGACTTCCCCATGGTTACACAGCTATTAAGGGGAAAGAGTCAAACTGAAGTCTCAGAGTCTATCACTTTCCACCAAAGCAGCTGTCTTCCACAGCTACTTACTAATCTTCTTAGTGCAGCTTATAGACATGCACACATATTATTTAATATGCAAATTCAACCATTTTATTACAAAATTAGTTAAATAGAAAGAGCAAGGATTTAGCAAACTTAGGACTACCTGAAAAGAATCTATGATTTCATCAGCATGAGAAATTCCTAATATGGTAATTTCCTTTATTATCACAAATGACAAATATATGAGATAAGAGAGAAGTTCTAGACAGATGCGTGGGGCAAAAAATAAAAAAAAAACAACAAAAAAAACCAAAAGGTTAAGTGACCAGTCCAGATTTAGAGGAGGAATTTAAATGCTACCTTTATTTTGCACTGTATTTAACCATCTCAAATATTTTGAATTGATTGATTCTGAGGCCAGAATTTTTTTATAACTGCAAAAACTCACAGAGGGCTTTTCTAGAAAGGTTTATATTTCTGGGTTTCCCATTGGGGAGTATGAGCCTGATGATGGTTAAAAATCAACTGAAGCCATATCCTTAGAGAGAATAGTGAGCACAAAAAGGAAGTTTCTTTCAATTTCTATTTCAATGATAAGGGTTAAATGTTAGCTAAATTCAGGCTTTAAGTTAAGATCAAAGATTTCACATTACTGTATTGACTGAAACAGATTACCAGAAAGAAATGCAAGTCTTGTGAAATTCAAACTTTGCAATAGATGGAATGCCCAGCCTACAGTCAGGAAGACTCACCTATGTGAGTTCAAATTTGACTTCAGAAACTAGCTCTGTGACCCTGGGCAAGTAACTTAATCCTTTTTGCCTCACTTTCCTCATCTGTAAAATAAGGTGGAAAAGGAAATGGCAAACCACTCCAGTATCTGCCAAGAAAATCTCAAATGGGGTCAGGCAGAGATAGACTGAACTGAAAGACTGAGCAACAACAAAATGCAAATTTAATTTATTAATAGTCACTAACTGCCCACAGTTAGACACACTTATGTAAATAAATAGGAGAGCTTGTTTGTTTAGAGTATAAACAGGATAATTAATTTACTAATCCCCATCCTCTTAACCCTAATCTCTATCTGTTTATTTTTTGCTTCTCAAGTAATGATATTATATTAATGTACTAATCATCTTTAGGATAGCACTGTGATGTCCTCATAGGACAAGAACCCAGGATGACCCCGATGTCTCTAATTCCAGAGTAAAATAAAATGTCCAAGCAGTTCTTTTATTTCAAGTATCCTAATAGTATTCTGGGGTCAGGTGGGAGGTATGCAGAGAAGCATGGAAGCAATTTTCAAATAGGAAAGTATCTTTCCCTAAAAGAAAAAAAAATATTTAAATCAGAACTAGAATATGGGAGTGGCAAGGGTAATGATCTGTGATCTCAAGGACTTATTCCTTACTGGATGAATCTGATAACACAAGTCATTGAGGTCTAATGTTCCTACTTTGTAACTTTCTTCTACCTGTTTAGTGGGGAACCAGGTGCATTTTAGAGTCAGGAAACAGAAAAGCAGAATGAGTATGGAGACCATGGAGGATGGAGTTGAAACTTGCTTGACAAGGGGAGAAGGAGGAGGAAATTAGGTTGAATTGGCAGGGTGGTATCAAATTATATAAATCAGGCAGAGAAATTTGGACAGTCTACTCTCAAGACCATCCTCCATCCCCTCCTCAAATAAATTTCCTTCCTTTCCTCTTCTTTTTAAAGAAAAATAAATAATTTTATTGCTATCTTTTGATTTTACATTGCCTAAACTTCCTCCCTATATCCCATCCCTTCCTCAGAGCTATCCCATAAAACAAAGAATATTAAAAAAAAAATTCTCTAACTTAGAACTTGTGCCAGTTTATTTGACTCTAAATCCTTGTCCTCTTTTCCTTATTCCTTCAGCTCCATCCTTACTCCTATTCAGGGTCATATAACCAAGTGACTAAAGCTAGGAGAGCATGAGCAACAAAGGTCATTTGAAGGAATTGTAGCTGAAACCGTACCTCTCTTCATCTCAAACAACATAGAGAGTTAGTCCTTTAACTCTTGGAAAAAGGGAAGGGGGGATGGCCTGCCAACACATGCATTTGGATCTTATTGCATACTCTTCAAATGTTCATTGAGAGTGCTGCAGGACAAATTACATATTTAGTTCATGTATCAAGTTCACTATAACTAGAAAATGTGTTCTCTTCATATATAAACCTTGGAATGGGGAAAGGAAGGCTTTCACAGAGGAGCTCTCCTTACCATCTGACAAGGGCTCCACAGGGGCCGGGAGGGATATGTTCCAACAGGAGAGAGAGGCACAGTATGAGATTCCCAGAGCTCTTTCAATGTCAAGATAAAATGACATTTTATCAAATGTTCTGGAGGCTTCCTTAACCTTTCAGCAATGTGGATTTATCCCAGGAATTAACATATCTTGTAAATTTAAGTCTACAACTATCAAACCCTCAAAGC